TCTCATGCCAATGCCGAGGCCGGGTCTAGGTCCGCGGGGTTATCTGCAATAGCACACAGCCCGCACCCACCCACCCACCCACGCACACACACACACAGACACAAACACTCACTCGAACTCGCCATCCGACCACAAAGCTCAAAATTGAATTACGCACTACACTACATTCTCAGCGTAATAACCGCAAATGTTCATTACGAAACCGCCATCGACGCACATTGCAAAGTTACTGAAGCATGACGCTTCGCCTGGACTCACGCGTAGCTGGTTTGGAGGACGTATATAGGACCGTACATGTGCTTGCCCACACCCGCAGGTGTACTATGGCACGACCCTTCCCACCAAACAAGACTGCGCGACGCTCTACGATGCCCGGCCGACGCTTTCGCGGCGAGTCCGCTGGCAAGGCGGCCTCCCTCCCAGTGTACGTCCGAGTGTTCATTTAGTTCAGCTGTGCAACTGCCGCTCGTTGGTTCAATGGGACTATCGCCCTACATCTGAAACAGACGATCGCACGACAAGGACCCACGGCCACCAATGCCAACCCAGAATATAGCGAGAACTGCGCAGATCAAACGGCATGAAAGGATTGCACACGCAGGTGACAAAATAAAACTGCAGACCTAATTGCATTTCATGGTGAGACATGAACAACCATCCAAACGCTATTAAAAGTTTCCAATTAACTGCACATAGAGCGCAGAGGTCAAAGCAACGACGCACTCACGAAGTTCCGATCTCGGCTCAGCGCCAAGTTCATGTTTACCAGTGGATTACCAGCATCCGGACTGCTGTGCGAGGACTTCCACGCGTCCATTTCCGAGGGGAGGTTTGGGTCATGTCTACTCTGAAATAAAGAAGCGGTCTGCGTCCTACCTACTCCGTGGACAACTAAAAAGTGCATTTACATCACTCAACGAACGAAAGCTTTCACTCTTCTTGTTCACTAATAGGCAAAATCACATCCCCATTCCATGCCTCTGCCACGCAGTACAAGATATGACCGGGATCGCACATCAAATGTCACAAAATCTGTGAAATTTATACGTTTGTTGCATTCGACATTATGCCATTCCCAAATGTGATCACATCTTACCGCATCCAGCAACACCATCCAGGCAACAGGAGCCCTGGCTAGCTCACCGAGTTAAAGCCCTTGGAGCTGGCTACCCAATTCCGGAGGAAGAATCGCTGCCCTTGGCCCTGCAAAACGGGATACGTCGCAACGCCCCACACAGTTCATATAACGAGGATTAATACCCGCGTCCACTTACATTTTTTACTTCGCCGGACCAACTCAACATCTCGGTAGACGGATAACATTATGCCCGCTCCCGGCCAAGCCGAACAACCATAACCACCCTACGCATAATCAAAAATATATCGACAATGTACGTATTTCCACACCAGCCATCGTAAACACCAGCGTAGTAAGTCATACCTTTAAGGAGGATAAATTGCAACCACATTACATTCTTCGAGGCATCATTTCCTCCCAGGCACAATCACCGCCAATCATCGTCCTGGAACACTAAAGTCAGTCGTCCACGATCCCCCTCACCCACCCTGGTACAACATCCGCGAACTCCGAGTATATTGCCGCAAATAGTTATTTCAAAGGCACGCCACACGCGCAGACTTTCTTCCGCCTGCCCTAGACACACATCCCAATGGTCACGTAGATACATAGCCCTTCGTGCATAAGCCATAGGAGAAAAAAATTCCATGCTACATAATAGTTTTTTTGTCAGGCATCCGCACGGAATAAAAACCGCATAATTTTCGCCATAATTTCACACCAAATTTGTTGAACTCACTATATAACTGATCAAAGGAGCGTGATAACCAAGAACGCACATTTCGGAACGACGACACCACCGACCGAGTTCTCATTGGACAACCATGTCAAGGCGTTTCACCATCTCGTACCATAGCCCCTCTCTTTCAACCTTGCATCTTACTTTCACCATCTGCTGGCAGTAAAGACCATCGGAAACGTTTTCCAACCTCGCGTGTATTAATTCGTCCGAAGCAGCGTGACTGGATGGCAAATGAGTCGTCCGCAGGACTTCCGGAGCGCATCCGCCGACAGGCAAGCCTTGGCTCAGTCATTCAACCCTGCAACAGAGCACCTGCACACCGGGAGGGGCAGGACCCAGGATAGGAAGCCGAACAAGCCTCGTGCGATTTGACGCCACTCAAGTGCTCTATCTAATCGCGTTCAGTATAATATGCAGTGCCGCCGTTCGTTCAGTGTTCTGAAGTCAACTGACGTATCTACCTGGAAACGTACTTCGTCTTTACCGTTCCGCTGCGGCGGATGTACTTATACGCGTGATCAACATCACTTCCAGCGTGTACGTACGGGACCGTGCGAATCTGTTATAGTTTCACTGTATCGCTCCTCTTCTCGCCCGACGGCATGTCTGCTCTGCCGATGTGATCGGAGGTCTGTAACGAGACGGCGCGACGCGCGGCGCACGGACGCTGTGTACTAGGCAGCTGGGACACACCGGCGACCGAGCGGCGCCGGACGGACCGGTGGCCAGCCGGCCGCGCAACCCCACCCGGCAACCGGTGCACCCCAGCGCCTGCAATCGACTCCAGTGTTCTTACAATGAACTTAATAATGGCTCAACGTTCTGCTCGAGATAGGCTGGCTGATTGACTCAACGTTTGACTAAGCGTTCTAACAGACAATGACGCAACGACGAATTGGAGTGATCCGACTTAACTATGAGATGGAATGTGTTGAGCTTCGACAACGACGTCGTGCCGTGACACGCAGGCGCCTTGGTGCCCCCAGGTCGCAGGTCTGAGTGCAGTGTGATTAAATGTACCCTGAAACAGGAGCACGCTTCTGTTTCGGGGGGGGGGGGGGCGAAGCATGTGATCTCGGAGGGCAGTGACCGTAGTCCCATCGCCATCGGACAATACTGAATCGAGTCGGACTGCGTGTGATAGCGTTCGCTCAAGGCGCTTCCCCAGCGGGGTGGCCTGATCCGCTCACGTGTGGCCGGCGGCTGCGAGCCGGTATCCGGCGCCTCGGGCGTGCGGCTGCGGCTGTGGTAGCCCGTGCGTGTCCGATCCGTCAGCTGACCATACGGGGCCGGGCGCCTCCGACGGCCGGGTGACCTCGGCCGCAGCGTCCGGTCGGTAGCCTCCGGATCGGTCGACGGTCGACGGGCGGGCGTGCAAGCTGCGGCGGGGGTGTTCGGCCCGGTGCGGTCCGGTGCGATCCGGGACAGCCGGGAGTGGCGAGTCCGGCGCGGGGAGCGGCGCTTCTTTCTGCAAGCAGCGTTACGGGCGGCGGGGGCGGCGGTCGCAGCGCGCAGTGTGGGTAAGGTAGTGCAGGGCTACAGACGAAGTAGCGAGTGGGCGAGTATGACCTCTGTGCGGTAAGTACAGGCAGGCGAGCGGTGAACCAACACGACCAACCACGTACCCGAGTATACAAACCAACCAACCCAACTAATGGAGCCTAACATTAGAGAAGCAGCGAGAGTATCACAATGCGCACAGCCAAGAACTTTCCGCAGTCTCCGCATTCTGGCGACAGGCCATAGCACCACTCACAAGCGGACGACGCGCCGGAGAGCGTCCTTGCAGCCGAGGGAACACCAGCGCTTCGGGCGGGAACCCCGGACAGTCTGTCCTTAAGCGACGCGCAGCCGCCGTGGGTGACGTCACCGCAGGGTGCATGACGCAAGCCAACTTCTACGCAGGCTGTGAATCACACGTCCGCCCACGCGCGCACCCACGCACAACCAGATCGGCACAGCATGCAGCACGGCACAACAGCGGCACCACCCAAACACCGGCCTCAACACACATCACAAGTCAAAAGCAGAGATTTAGTGTCAATGCACAGTGCTTGCGCCTAATAAAACACCACAGATAGACCACCGGTAACCAATGCACAGCACCCCAGGGGCGGGAAAGTTTTATTGTCACAGACCTGGGGAACCGCCAGCGAATTGGGCCTCGTGAAGGGTATTTTGGAGCTGTGTACTCGTTTCACTTTCCAGCATCAATCTCGACCAATATTCCGTCTCATCCTTTCCCTCCGCTCTGCCTCGGTTCAGCCTTACTACTCAAATCAGATCTGGTTACAAAGCGTAACTCGATAATCCGGTCAAGCTTCGCCAAAAGCTGCTGAAACAAATGTAGCTCGGGTCCGGGGAGGGGTCGCCAAACCCCTACGGTGACAGAGGCAGCTGAGGCTACTGTCACCGCCCTGCCCCACTCACTTTATTCCGCCACTCCGCGTCACGGAAACAGCTTCCTCCCGGCCAACATGGCCGCCGAGTAGAATGACGTCACAAAGAAAGTAGGTCATCGCCGCCGTGGCAGCTGGTGGGCGCCGCCCCGACCACCAACCTAGGAGGAATGCAAACGACCTCCGGGAGTCAACAAGCCCCGATCAGCAGAACCTACCGACGGCGATTTCTGACAAGGCCCTGATGCGGGCACAAGGTCCTAGTCAGATTAAGCTTGAACCACAGCACTATCACTGCAAACCGGCAGCACAGCTCTTAGGTTTCACAAATCGGACACCTCAGCACCACCAGCACACTTCGCATTTTGCAAAGAGACTCTCAGACTCAAAATAAAGATCTTGGAAACCATACGGCTCTTGGACCCTATCAGAGGAGAGAGAACAGCACCACCACCACGCGGGAGCTCTGGAGCAGGAATGAGGCTTCAGACGCCGAGGGTTCCGGACTTCGATACCGAGCCAGGGGGACGCCGTCTAGACCTTTCCACCAATCACAATGTGCCATCGCCCCAGCCAAGGCCGGTGATTGGTGAAAGCCTGCTGCGTAGGTGCCGTTTCCAGAGACCGCCACCAGGGCGGCTGCCAAGGCCCCTGAAATGGCGCAACAACAAGGCTGGTGAGCGTCGCAATAGCGGACCAGGAGTTCTCAAGCCGGGCAGGAAAATTCCAGAGCCCAGTCGAGCCGCGTGACGCATTGAGAGCCCCCGTGATGGCAGCCCACGCCAGCAGTGACGTCATCCGACCGAGGGCGTCTGTCGCCGCCATCTTGCCGCCGTATTGATCTGTGGAAGAGAGAAGTTACAGATACAAACTTTACAAAATGTGCGCACGGGGCTGCACTTAAACCAGAGGTAACTTGTTCCTATATCAGACACATAGTACAGGGGCGCAAAAGCAAGCCACAAGCGCTGCATTAATTATCAACATTTACTGTTTTCTACAACGATCTCAGAAGCAGTTCAGGGCACCAGGCCTCACCAGTATTCCTCAGACGTGATTAAAGCCCCGACAAAATCGGTCGCAAGATGTAAAAAAACGTTAATTTCACCGATGCAGAACGCTTGTGAATCCACACAGAGCCAGCTCAGATCGCGGGCGAGGTATTCATTTTTGATAACGTTCCTGGTCAATTCTAGCCACTGCCCACTTTTACGGAATCATCCACTCAGTTCAACCGTTCCATCTACGTTCTTTTGCTGAGTTGTCGAAGGCCAACACGGTGGATGCGTTGGAGAGAGCGATGGAGGTGCGAAAACTGAGCAGGGCGGCGGCCGCCTTCGTTACTTCTGAACATACCCTGGCCGGATAAGCTTTGCATGGTGCTTGGGTTTATTTAGTGTTTCGGCAACAAAAACTGATATTGCCCAGTTTCAAGGCCAAAGTATTCTGGGGAAAACTGAGTAGGCCTGCTGCTCGCAGATATTTCCGCATTTTTTGTCCTCGCTGCGAGGATATTCGGCCAGTATGTTTTTTTTTTCAACGACGCCCGAACTTGAAAGTAAGGGTATTCAAGTAGTTCCAGTACATGACTTGATACTGTGGTTCTTCATACTTCCCCCACAAAGTTTTTCTCCTTGACCTGCTCAAGGTACTCACAATTGCAGTCCTGATGGCAATAACCTACAACTTTACTGATTTGCACTTCACCACAACATAAGGCCACATCAGCAACCTGTCCCTTCAGGATCCAATCCGCTCCCAATCCCAATATGTGCTCTCCACGGATGGGCATGGCACACAAGCATTGCCCATGAAATTGAAACGACTTGGCCAATCCGCAGTGCGAAGAAATTCGTGTACCACATGCAACGGCCATACGACAAATGACTATGTATTAAAGCAAGATTAGTCCTTCTGACCCTCCTCCTTAATATCAAGCACGTGCACTTCCAGATTTACAGGCCCACCAGTATAGATGTACATAAACGGACCAAAAGCCACGCGATGATCTACCGCGCATGTGGACCAATGCATACAGGATGCACCGAACTTCAACGTTCTGCATTAAAACGAATTGGACCAAGCTCGACTCTTGCCGCCAATAGCATGGTGCTGACTGGGATTAATTATCTGTGGAGCAAAGGAGCCGCCATAAGCAACCACAGCAGCTGACGGGGCGCTATGACAGTGAGCAAGGATTCGATTAAAGACTTCAAAACAGACATCTGAATCTCCGCGGCAGTGGATGCCGCCAAGTGAGATCCCGCCCACGATAGCTCCGAATCTCCCCATGTGCGACGAACGCCAGTCAGCTGGTGCGCTGCGCCCAGGCCCCAGCCGCACGCTCCGCTTCGGCCGAGGCCACCACCGCTGCCGACCTCCGCCGCCGGCCAAGGGCAGTCAGCTGATCGGCCGACGGCGTGTCCCGCTTTCACCAGACGGCGGCCGGCGCAGTTCGGTCCGTCCACCCAACATATGGCGCCGGCCGGTGCAGCTCGGCGCCGTAGCCATGCCGGCACGCCGCGCCATCACCCGACACAAGGAACAATAATATATATGTGCCGGTATTGAAAAATTGTATTTGACAGAGTTTGACATGAAAGCATGTGACGAAATGAGAATCCCTGTTTACGAGTTACGTAGGCATACCCCCAATGGTCACCGGGACAAGAACATCGACATTCGCGTTTCCTGTCTTATCCTCCCGCCTAATTGGAAGACATCTGAACGGTCCGATACTACTTCCAGCGCAAGGCATTCCATTCCAACATACATGGAAATATCCAACAATATTTCAGCGTGCTCCAAGGTCCTTTTTTCCATGAACTTTTTCTGCAGGTATCTTACACGAGTTGGGCAAACACATGCAGCTGAAGTTCCTGATTAGGAACCGCTTAAAATTACGTCGTGCACATCTTACACCGCCCCTACGTCTAACGTGGCAGTTTGTTTTAACATGTTGGACAATGCGCATCACTTGGATATCTTACATTCACAGGAGCATGCTAAAGAGAACACCATATAAATATTGCAGTCTCAATGCTGCGAACAGATGCCAACAAAAAGGATAGCTACGTCGGTACGTGCCTACATCAACATATAGGAAGGAATGCCGCAACGTTCTATGCGTTATAGATATACCCATATATATACATATATAGCCTGGCGAATTTCTCGCACTTACCCTCGCCACCGAAGTTCGTCTTGACCCCATGAACTCCTTTGCTGGCATCCTCGCTGAAGGCTCCATTTGAGGCCCCACTGTTTCTGAAGGGAACGCCCTCGGAAACCGGATGTGGGACAGTAGTGTAGACTTCACATCACTTCTCGAGACACATCACCGACCTTCAGTGAACTTAAGCCAGATACCCCGTGGTCTTAAACCATTCACGAAAACCAGATGCTCTGTCACAACTGAAGCTCATCGCTATTTTCCTCAGAAAATGGAGCGCGAGAATATTTTTGCAACAATACCACTCGCCCAAAAACACATGCCACACATCACGTGCTCTTCGGCTCAGGCAACTTCCAAGCAAACCCCAATAATGTCCCCGTGCACATGGCGCTGGTAAACACATTTGAGTATCGTCCAGGTATTTTAATAGGTTGGCTTACGGTCTCTGCCCAATTGCCGAGTTGCGAGAAATATGTCCCCGATGTTATTATCAAGCCACTTCTCAAGTACAAGACAGTGATCCGCTCCATTAAAACGGAACTGACGGTCCTATTCTAATTCATCAAATTTATGCTGTTTGTGGTAATGCTAAGCTTTGTTTAAGGGACCAGTAATGCGAAAAAATCCTTTCGTCAATGTTGACTTGCTACTCGCGCGACATTCGTGGGGACCCATGGAAAGGTTGCGCGACCGGGACTTGCCCCCCCCCCCCCTCTTCCTAGGATTGGCCTACTTGAGCAACATATCTTGGACTTTGAAGAAAGTGTTGGATCCACCCTTAGCGGTGTTACCCGCTCTAGCTGACAAAGAACATGGACGTGCTTGCTTGCAAAGGTGGCATCTAAATGCTGCGAAAACAAAGTTGTTACGCCAACTCGTTGAATCTGAACTATCTTGGAGAGGAAGCATGATAACATCAGCATAAGAGCCAGTGACGTCGCCAGGATTTCTAGGTCAAGGAAGCAGAAATGGTGGGGTAGGGGAGGGGTGTTAGGGGAAGAGCATCAAGCAAGAGAAGCCCCACTGTCTATCCCATTTTTCCCATCGTCAGGACAGCCCCCGGATAGAGGAGGCTTCTTTTGAGGTTGAGGGCGGAAGCTGCCCTGTTGTACCCCCGCCCCTACACTTGCCGACGCCTGCGCATATCATACAAGACTGGAGTGTTTTCGTTAAGAAAACGATGTATGCACCAGATTGCTTTTAAGCCAGTCAAATGGCATCGACGAGGACAAGATCTGCCACCTTAACGACGTGAAAACCGTGTTCCGTCACCTCCCAGCCCCATCGCATCCCATCTCTTCAAGGGTCCACCATGACTGCATACTGCATGAAGATATGAAGACTGCATGAAGACCGCATGAAGATAAGAAGACATGGTTGCAGTCCCATGTCGGTATGCATCCTTTTCTTCCATCTCATTTCGACATTTATTTGTCGCGTTTTTCGTCGCTTTGGAGGCGAACGTTCAAAAGTTATTTCAGGGGTGAGGTTTTCAGATGGGAAGCCTCCACCCCGACCTGGGCTCCAGCCTCCCGCTCCCGCAGTTTGAGAAAAAAGTGGGCCAAATCCAGGCAGAAATCCGTTGTTGGCGCATTATGGGGGGGGGGGGGGGAGGCTGCTTTAGATTCTGTTATTCGTACCTCCTCCCACTTATTCTGCAAAACCTCGGTCTCAGGTTATTGTCATACATTTACCTCAGCGCTCTAGATTCCTCTAGAGATGACGTAGTCGTTCATTGGTGTTTCCGGACGCGTCGACTGCAATGGTCATTTTGCGCCCAGATGACGTAGTCGTAAAATCCCACATTTCTGTCCCGCTGCCAAACGATCCCTCGAAATGCGTCGCTATGCTTGTACCATGATATGCCAGCGCGCAATAAATGTAATGCAAAGCGGCACTTACCAAACCGCGACGACTCCGCGCCTGCACACGCGTGCTTAGTCCGGTGGCAGTGTCTCGTTTTAGGACTGCCGCTGCCCTAGTTCGGATATGTCTAAGGCCCGAGTTATCACTCAAGGCAGTGGATGACGCGGGATGAAGGCCCCTGCAATATTCGAACATCGCTGATCCGCTGAGAGCAGTGGTGCGGGAAACGTGGTGACTTGTGTCACTCCAGTGCATAAGCGCGTCACTCCAGTACTTCAGGTGAAAAGGTTTACCCGCACATAGGAACATCAACGACTGTTTGAGTCGCGTTCATAACGATGTACAGAAGTTCATTGACATACCGAATATCTACCGATTTTATAGATCACAAAACTCCAGCATTCAGCATGCAACAAGAGATGGGACTTTGAGTTCAGGCCAAGTACAGTCTTTGAGTGCAGGCTGCCCCCCAAGTTGTCCGCTTCCCACCTCAGCATCGCTCTCGTGCTCATGACTGTCAAGGCCAAGCGGATGACGATAAGTCGGTATCAACGTCGCACCCCTCGCTCCTGATTTGAAGGGCGTTTATCTACTGAGCTGGCATAACATCAAACTAAGGGCTCCACGTTATCACAGCGTCACAAAAACCAGCGCCCACGGCTACTAATGGCGATTTTCCCTACTTTTATGACGCCTTCAAAGTTGTGGATGAAGGATTTTAAACAGGAATCACAAATTTGTGGAGGCACTGGTACAAACAACCTCTGTCTGAATGCGTCTTTGAAGATGCGGCGACACCGG